GCTCCCTGGATCTCTTAGGTATCCTGTTGTGCTGTGTAGGGAATCCTCTGTTGGCCAATGGATGTCTGTTTGGTTGTAATTTAGAGGGGAGAGACAAAGGGAACCTCTTACTCTGCCATGATGCTGATGTCTAGAAAACTTTTTTTTCAGCTTTATTGAGGTATAATCGACAAATAAAATTGTAAGGTATTTAAGTGTACATCATGATGATTTGATATACATAACATTGTGAAAGGATTCTTCCCATCTGGTTAACAGAAAACTTGATACGCCTTCAATTATACTTTTAATGAAAAGATCCACTCAGCATTTAACAAAGATCTACTGAGCATGGCTTGTATCTTGTATTTCGATAAGTACAAAGGACAACCCTGTTCATGCCTCAAAGCATTTACAATCTTTAAAATTTCTAAATTATTACTTTAAAAATATCTTGTTTATTTTTATTTTTTTCCAGTTTTGAGATACAACTAATATATAACATTGCGTACTTTTTTTTCAGTTTTTTTTTAGTTTTGAAAACAATTATTTTTGACGTTAAAAATGTAAATGTAAAAAGCATACAGTGAAATGTGATAAATGTATAAACCGTTGTAACTGTGAGCCAGACGAATGTATAGAACATTTCCATCAACCCAGGAAACTTCCTTTCAAATTTTCTCAGAGGGAACCACTCTTCTGTTCTGACACTTCATGGAAGTCGACTTCTACAGGAGTATCAGAAAGGTACCTTAAAAGAGATATGTTTTAGGAGTTGAAAAGCATTTTTTTGATAGGCATCTTTTGCTGAACGTACTGTTTGGGGGGATTATGCATGTTAATGCCTCATCTGTAGTTTGGTTGTTTTTACTGTGGAGTATTAATCCCTTATATGAATATACAATGGTGTGTATATCACTTCTCCTGCCCATGGACATTTGGATTTTGTCCAGTTTTTGCCACATTGTGTACGTTTTTAAGAGGTGCAATGTGTTGATTTGATACACTCTTATATTACAAAACGATTACCACCATAGCATTAGCTAACACCTCCATATTGTCACATAATTACCATTTCTTTTTTGTGGTGAAAACATTTAAGATGTACTCTGTTAGCAACTTTCAGGTATATAATACACTATTATTAGCTACAATCACCATGCTATATATTAGATTCTCCGGAACTTGTCAGTCTTATGACTGGAAGTTTGTACCCTTTGACCAATATCTCCCCATTTCCCCCTCCCCACAGCCCAGGTAACTGCCACTCTATTCTTTGTTTCTCTGTGTTTGGCTTTTTTTAGATTTCACATATAAGTGATATGATACAGTATTTGTCTTTCTCTGTGTGGCTTACTTCACTTAGCATAATGCCCTCAAGTTTTATCCAAGTTGCTGCAAATGCCAGGAAGAAAATTATTACTTTTAAACAGGACTCTGGGCAAAGGCCTCAGGGAAAACATGTATTTGAGCTGAGCCTTTGAAGGATAGGTGAATTTTTTTTTCTGCTTTTTCTCCCCAAGTCCCCCCAGTACATAGTTGTAGTTTATAGTTGTGGGTTCTTCTAGTTGTGGCATGTGGGACGCTGCCCCAGTGTTGGCTGACGAGCAGTGCCATGTTCGCACCCAGGATCCGAACCAGTGAAACCCTCGGCCGCCAAAGTGGAGTGAGCAAATTTAACCACTCAGCCGCGGGACCAGCCCCCAGGATTGGTAAAATTTTAATGGACAAAGATCTGTCCATTAAAGTATATGGAGTATATCCCCAACAGAAAAAGCAGTGTGAACAAAGTAAGAAAAGTAGAAAAGACTTCAGGGATGAGTGAATACCCAGTTTGGGTGGATTAAAGGGGGTGTGCATGGGGAGATAGTAAAAGGAGATAAAAACCTACCAAAGTAGATGTAGGGTCTTGACTTTCACACTAAGGCATCTGGACAATCTTCTGTTTACAGTGGAGAAATAGTAAAGAAGATTCTTGAGGGAGGTGTTCAGAACTGTGATATTTTAAGATTATTCTTGCAGCAGTGTGTACTTTGGACTGAAGTTGTGTGGTGATTTTAAAATATGTCCACAACTTCTTTGACAATCCTCCCTTCAAATGATGGAACCTAATTCCCCATCCTTAGAATGTGAGCCAGACTTAGGAATTCACTTCTAGCTAATAGAATATGACAGAAGTAATGCTATGTGATTTCCAAGGCTAGTTCAAGAAAAGGATAGTTTCTGTCTGACTTCCTCTTGGATTACTCACTCTTGGTAAAATCATCCATCAAGTTGTGAGGACACTCAGGCAGCTTACGAAGAGGCCCGTGTGGGAAGAAGTTGAGGGCTCCCAGTAACGACCAGCACCAACTTGCCGACAGCCATGCAAGCCGGCACCTTGGAAGCAGATCCTCAAGCTCCAATCAAGCCTTCAGGTGACTCCAGCCCTGGCTGATATCGTGAATGCAATCTCAAGAGAGACCTTGAGCCAGAGCTGCCCAGCTAAACTGCTCACGAATTCCTGACCCACAGAAATTGTGCTTTTAACAAGTGTTTATTATTGTGTTAAGCTATTAGATTTGGGGGTAATTTGTTCTGCAGTAGTAGGTAATTAATGCAAGTGAAGAAGAGAAGAAGCCAGACTAAAGGTGTTAGACAGGGATTCAGGACACTAGGATTCTGCTGCCAGCTCTACATTTACCATGGAAGTCACTTAACATCTTTGTGCCTCAGTTTTCCTCATCTGTAGAATGGCTTAAATAGGCCCTAAAGTTTCTTCCAGGGCCAAGATTCTGTGAATTCTATGAAAGGTTTTAGTTTTATATAGTTGCCTTATATCACTCATTTACCAAATTTTATTGTTAAGTACTAGTCTAGGAACTAGTGAGCAGTGACAAGTACACACACAAGCAGATGACTTGGCTCCTTTTATTATCCTTAGTTTATGAAGATTAAAGAAGAAAACAAACATAAAATAACTAGAGAAGACAGTTATAGAACTACTATTTTTAAGGACATTAAAGGGCTTGAAACTCAGAAAAGGAGAGAGTTCCCCAGAAAATACTGCAAAGGAATTTGTATAATAGTGAGCTAGGGAAATTAAGAACAATTTTAAAGCAACAGTTACAAAGCAACAAGTAATCAAGTTCATGAACAAAGTTAGCTTCACGGGAAGGTTTTGGGATAACTATGAAATTATGATAGGAAGAGTTAAACCAAATTCCTTCCAAGCTAAGAAAGTGTCTTCCCATTCTCCACCTTGCCTGAAATGTGCCAACTCATTTATTTAAATGAGCTTCTAAGAGTCCTCTATTAATATTTTTAAAGGTATGTGATCATGACAGTAATAAAAACATTAGTAACTACTATGCTACCACTCTTACTAGGGATTAGTAGGAGCCAACGTGCTAAGTATTTTACACACATTACGTTATTCAATCCACATCTCTGAGAGGAGGCAGGTGATATTATAGCCACATTTTACAAATGAGGAGTCTGAGAATCAGAGATGTTAACAGAGTATCCAAGGCCACACAGCTATCAGCTACAGAGCCAGGACATAAAGTTCATGATCTCAACCACCACATTATCTTATCTACCTTATTCGTTTCTCATATACTCCTTCAATCTGGAAGTTAGCTAAATGGTAAACAGAAACAGGATACAGGAAGTTTGGTTTCCCAGAAAAGCTTATTCCTGCTAATTAGGGCTGTGGGTTGCCAGAAAAGTGCTTGAGAGAGACTGCACGCTTGGAGGACACACCATGATTGAGAATGAGAGGCACTAAACGGGATAGAGGAAGGGCCTTAAATAATATTAATTGTAATAAAAATAATTTTAGCAGGAGTAATAACAGCATCAGGATAAGCAACAGCAGGTGGTATTTATCACACAGTGCTAAACATTAAAAACATTTTATTTATTCTTCCCAATGTCCCTTTGAAGTTGGTACTATTATTCTCATCTCCATGTTCCAGACAAGGAAATTTAACAGGCTATCCAAGTAGTGAAGACAGTATTTATCGTCTGGCAGGCAGTCTGACTTCAGAGCACCAACTTTTAACGCTACACTACATGCTATATGGTTATTCTTGGTGGCAATACTACTTCTATTACTAGTCCTACTACAAATACAGTATTCATGTATATTCAGTGGTGTGTGAGAGCCAGCTCCTACCAGGAATTTTGCTAGTAGGTTGTTAAAGCATTGGTAGCTTGAAATTGGCCATAATAAAAGCATTTACACCAAGGAAATCAGCAAAGGATACAAATTAGGACTTTTTTTTGCAGAGAGCTACACACTGCTGTTAATATAATTCTCACTATGTGATATACACTATTTTAAGCACTTTACATATATGAATTCATTTAATCCTTACAACAACCCTATGAGACACTAAACATTACTATCCTCATTTTACATGAGGAAACCAAGGTATAGAGAGGTTAAGTAACTTGTTCAAATTCATAAAGCTGATTTCAGCGACCTGTGCTCAGCACTCATCTGTGCCCTTTATTGCATTATAATTAATACAATAAAACTATATTCTGAGCTAAGGGAATGGAAAGTAAGAGAGCACAGCAAGGTCAGAGAAACTTTCTGAAAGTACTCAGTCTTCCTCATCCCACCCACCCCTACCCAGAGAACCTTCCAAAATTTTCTGCAATTATCATTCATCAGTCTAAACATATTTTCCTTTAAGATTCTGCTAATTTGCCCCTAATGTTTTCCAAAAACCGTACTTTGTTTCTTATTGGAGTCAGTCCAAAGGTTTTACTGCTGATAAATGTGGGGAGGGTGTGTTGACTAAAATTTGGTGAATTTACAAAGAAATAATGCTCAGAAAAAGAAAAGTCTAACCATCAAGACCTTTTGCATCCAGTCCTAAACTGATATGTCTTACCCTTTTTTCCTCAAAAAAGCTCTAAAATGTCAGAGTCCTTTACCATCTCCTGGGAATAAATGTTTATGAAGGCTTTTGCAGATGTATGTAGTTAATTGTAATCTCCTTTTTTTTTAGAAAAAGAAAAAAACTCACATCATCTAATTCTTTCTCCACTTGGATTTTTCTCTTCTGGAATTGTTTTACTGTTTTCAGCTCTGTCTGAATCATGCTAATTTCTCTGGCTTTTTGATGGAACTGTCCCTCCAGCTCACTTATTTGCACAGTGTACTTTTGTTCCTGTATGCAAAAAAACCCAGGTAAATGAGTTAGGAAAAAGAAAAGAAGTCCCACAGAGTTATGTTCCATTTGAAGCCTTAAGCCATTTGTCTATCTTCTTTGAAGAAATGTTCCCTTTTTATTTTTCCATAAAGTTCTAATTTTTGTTAAAAGATGCCAAATGCCTTGAATAAGAAAAAAATTCTACAATGAGCTGATCTTGTATAGAAAATTTATTATTATTTATTGAAAAGAGGTATGAGAAGTCTAAACAAATCTTTAATCCGTAAGAAAGATAAATAACATCCTTGACCCTAAGTTGAAATTAGCAAGCTTAAGAGACAAAGGAAGGGTCAATATCTCTAATAAAGAAAGAAGGAAAGAGGTGCCAGCCTCATGGCCTAGTGGTTAAGTCCAGTGTGCTCCTCTTTGGCAGCCTGGGTTTGTTTTCTGGGCATGGACCTACACCACTCACTGGTCCTCATGCTGAGGTGGTGACTCACATATGAAAAACAGAGGAAGATTGGCACAGATCATTAGCTCAGGGTGAATCTTCCTCAAGCAAAAAGAGGAGGATTGGCAACAGATGTTAGCTCAGGGTGAATCGTTCCCTGCTTAAAAAAAAAAAAAAAAAAAAAAGGAACCGGGATTTTTAGTGAGGGAGAAAGAAGACATAGATAAAGTTAAGTAAAAACCTTGTATTCCTGCATCTGAATTGGAAGTATTAGTATGGGCTCATGATATATTTTATGGTATATTTCAATCTTTAAAAATATATGTATTTCCTAACTCTGTCCACTGAAAAGTCCTAGCAAGAATGACAAACTCAGGATCAGTAAGGACCACTAATACCAGATGATTTTCTAAAATAACATATTTTTATGTTATTTTTGAGCTTCTATACAATCAAGTGAACGAGCTTTAAGGTTGCTGAGCTGCTCATAGGACCTATTCACCTATTCTCATTGTTTCTTTTTCTTTTTTTTTTAAGATTGGCACCTGAGCTAACATCTGTTGCCAATCTTTTTTCTTTTTATCTTTCTCCCCGAAGCCCCCCAGTACCTAGTTGTATATTCTAGTTGTAGGTGCTTCTAGTTGTGGTATGTGGGACGCTGCCTCAGCATGGCTTGATGAGTGGTACTAGGTCTGCTCGCAGGATCTGAAGCAGTGAAACCCTGGGCCACCAAAGTCAACCACCCAGCCACGAGGCCGGCCCCTCTCATTGTGTCTTAAAACATGAGCTTGCCAGAAACCTGACCACCCAGTAAGTGGAGTATTAGTGCACATAGATACTCACCAGTTTTTCCTTCTCCTCTTGGGCTTTTTCCTTTGTTTCATTCAATTGCTGCTTCAGTTTTTCAATCTGTAGAAGACAGAAATACAGAGTCAGGAAGGTAAAGAAATTGCTCTCTCTCCTACCTTTATTAAGTAGCCTAATTTTCACATGATATTAAAACCACTGGGGTTGGAGAGGTGGAGTAAGGTGAGAAGAGGACAAGAGGGGAGATACTCCATACTCTTAACCCTTTTATTGCCAGGTTCCAAAACCTGGCTACCATCAGAATTACCTGGGTAACACAACATTAAATTTACCATCTTAACCATTTTTAAGGGTACAGTTCAGTAGTAAGTATATTCACATTGTTGTGCAACAGATCTATAACTTTCATCTTGCAAAACTGAAACTTTATATTCATAAAACACTAATTCCTTCTCCTACCTACTCCCAGTCCTCGGCAACCACTCTTCTACTTTCTGTTTCTACGATTTTAATTATTTTAGATGCTTTGTATGAGTAGAATCATATAGCATTTGTCCTTTTGTAACTGGCTTTTTTCACTTAGCAAAATATCCTTGAGATTCATCCATGTTGTAGCATGTGAGAGGATTTCCTTCTTTTTAAAGGCTACATAATATTCCTTTCACATATATACCACATTTTATTTACCCATTCACCCATCAATGGACATTTGGGTGGCTTCCACCTCTTGGCTATGTGAATAATATTTCAACAAACATAGGTGTTCAAATATCTCTTCAAGATCCTGCTTTAAATTCTATTGGAGAAGCCAGCCTTGTGACATAGTGGTTAAGTTTGGCACGCTCCACTTAGGCAGCCCAGGGTTGTGGGTTCACATCCTGGGCATAGATCTATACTTGTCAGCCATGCTGTGGTGGCAACCCACACATAAAGTGGAGGAAGATTGGCACAGATGTTAGCTCAGGGATAATATTCCTCAGCAAAAAAATAAAAATAAACAAACAAATTCTACTGGAAATATACCCCAAAGTGAGATTCCTGGATCACATGGTAATTCTATTTTTAATTTTTTGAAGAACCTCATACTGTTTTCCATAATGGCTACACCATTTTACATTTCCACCAACAATGCACAAGTGTTCCAATTTCTCTGCATCCTCTCCAACACTTGCTATTTCTGTTTTTCTGATAGTAGCCATCTTAATGGATGTGAAGTGATATCTCACTGTAGTTTTGATTTGCATTTCTCTTATCTGGGTAACTTTTTTAAAGAAAAGTTTAAAGGGCCAGCCAGTCGTGTAGTGGTTAAGTTCGTGTACTCCACTCTGGCAGTCCAGGGTTCACGGGTTTGGATCCCGGGTGTGGACCTACACACAGCTCATCAAGCCATGCTGTGGTGGCATCCCACATACAAAATAGAAAACTGGCACAGATGTTAGCTCAATGACAATCTTCCTTAAGCAAAAAGAGGAATATTGGCAATAGATGTTAGCTCAGGGCCAATCTTCCTCACACACACAAAAAAAGCTTCAAGAAGAGTACAAAGAGTTCTCATATGAGCTTCACTCAATTTTGCCACATTTGCTTTCCCTCTCTCTATGTACAGTCATGCATTGTTTAATGACAGGGACATGTTCTGAGAAATGCATCTTTAGGTGATTTTGCCATTGTGCAAATATCTGAGTGTACTGAAAGGGAACAAAATTTGCCACCCCAAAACATGTCTCTTTAATATGAGGATTATTTTAGGCTATTTTAAAGAAACAGAAGACTCGGAAAGTTTTTCTTGTTACCTCCCCCTTAACTGCCTAAAAGAATTCAGTTAAAAAAAACCTGTCTCAGGAAGCGAGCTATCACTCTAGTATGTGAACTAACTGGTAGGCAGGGAGAAACCTAGAAAAGCGTTTGTTAGGCTCTCCTCTGTATTCTTCTGTTTCTGTGTCGCCACTTATTTTCCAAACATTTGTTCCCTTTCACCTACCTGTGAATTGCCCTCCTTCCCTTTAAAGTCCCTGACTCTCCCCACCCCTAAGCTCTTTTGTCTTTAGCTGAGGATGGTATTTAAGGTGAGGGCTTTGGGCATTTTGGCGAGTTACTTGGTTTTCTTGGGTTTCTTCCACATATACATGTTATTAAACTTTTGTTTTTCTCCTGTTAATCTGTCTCATGTCAATTTAATTTTTAGACTAGCCAGAAGAACCTAGAAGGGTAGATGACAATTATTTCCCCCCTACAGTACTTACACAAACCTAGATGGTATAGCCTACTACATACCTACATACCTACTACACACATAGGCTATATGGTACTAATCTTATGGGACCACTCTGGTATACGCAGTCCATCATTGACTGAAATGTCATTAGGTGGTGCATGTATATGTGGAAAGATCTATCTAATATATATATATATATATATATATATACACACACACACATATGATATAGATTTTTTTTACATTGTTTTTTCTAGAACAGTCTTTGTCTTTTATGATATCAACATTTTTGAAGAATACCAGCCACGGTTGGGTGTGTCTGCTGTTTCTGCATGAGTAGATTCAGGTTATGCATTTTTGGCAGGGATACACTGCCTAAGTGATGATGATCCTTTTCAGCGCAACACACCATGAGGTGATTGATTTTAATCAATTGGTTAAGATTGTGTCTCCCAGGTTTCTCCACTTAAAGTTACGATTTCTCCTTTTGTAATTACTAAGTAATTTGTGGGAAGGTATTTTGAAACTATGCAAATATCCTTCGGCTCATCAAACTTGCACCCACGAGTTTTAGCATCCACTCATGATTCTTGACTGAATCAATTATCATGATGATGCCAAATGATGACTTTTCTAACTCTATCATTCCTTGGAAATTTAATAATTTACTGCATTCCACTGTAAAGAAAAGCTTTCCCTTCTCCCTTATTAACGTATGTATTTATTTGTTAGCAGTGTGCACTCATGGACTTATTTTATTTAATGGGTTAAAATCTATTGCTGTTATTATTTATTGTGATTGTCCCAGATTTTGGCAGTGGGAGCCCTTTCAAGCTAGCCGCTCTCTCCTTTTAACTTTTTTACTTACTTTCTGGCACAGTAAGATATTCCAGGTTCATCTTTTACTTTCCCTGCCCCAGTCTTGGAAGCAATCTCCAAGGATGCTGCTGTGTTTTAGTAGGAAACCTAAGTAGCTTTTTAAACTAAAAACTCCTTGATGTGGTTGTAGAATCAAAGAATACAAAGCAAAATATTTTTGTAAACATCATCTTAGACTAGTTTAAGGAAAACTTAAAATTTCTAAAAAATAAATTGAGACAGTCCTAAGTCATGTAGGACAGGTGTGAAATATAACGAGATTTACTTTGTGATTGATTGAACAAAGACTGAAAACAAAACAAAGAGTGAACAAAAACACACTTAAGGAAAATCTCCTACTTTTGCTCACGATATAACAGTTTTCAAAACACATTTAATTTCTTATATTTCTATAATTAACATAAAATAAGACTATAAATAGTTTAAAGTTTAAGAAAATAATACATTTCTAGGATACAGCAGAATGAATAACAAAATAGGAGAGCTAGTTAACCAGGATATACTGAATCTACTTCTTCCTTTCAAAGTAGTTTCTTTAGTTTTAATGGGCATCCATGACTGTGAGAAATTATGCATTTGCTGCAGTCAGATGCAGGCCTTTGATATATGGAGGCAGATGAAAATCAGGAAATACAAGTGATACCAATAAAGGCAGACAATATCAACTACCTAATGCAGGCCACAAAGCTTCTGTCATGAATTTTGAAAATTATTTGTATGGCTGGCATAAAAACTTACTTTAGAATAATACTTTATAGAAGACAATTTTGATAATGCCTACTATTCAGAGTAATTTTAAAAATGGAAGTTGCCTACCAAAGAAGGTAAAAAAACAACATCAATGCACAAAAAACTACACTTTAATAAAATATATAAAATGTACACAAACATTCAGTTGTTTGATTTCTCTAACATGCTTTCAATATTATCTTGAACTTAGTTTTTTTATTCTCTTTTTTTATTGAGTTATTGATAGGTTACAATCTTGTGAAATTTCAGTTGTACATTAATGTTTGTCAGTCATGTTGTAGGTGCACCACTTCACCCTTTGTGCCCACCCCCCACCCCACCTTTCCCCTGGTATCCACTAAACTGTTCTTGGTCCATAGTTTTAAATTCCTCATATGAGTGGAGTCATACACAGATTATCCTTCTCTCACTGGCTTATTTCACTTAACACAATTCTCTCAAGGTCCATCCATATTATTGCAAATGGAATGATTTTGTTTCGTTTTGCAGCTGAGTAGTATTCCATTGTATATATGTACCACATCTTTATCCATTCGTCTGTTGCTGGACACTTAGGTTGCTTCCACGTCTTGGCTATTGTAAACAGTGCTGCAATAAACATTGGGGTGCACAGGACTTTTGGGATTGCTGACTTCAAGCTCGTTGGATAAATACCCAGTAGTGGGATGGCTGGATCGTATGGTAGTTCTATTTTTAATTTTTTGAGGAATCTCCATACTGTTTTCCATAGTGGCTGCACCAATTTGCATTCCCACCAGCAGTGTATGAGGGTTCCTTTTTCTCCGCAACCTCTCCAACATTTGTTGCTATTAGTTTTAGATATTTTTGTCATTCTAACGGGTGTAAGGTGATATCTTAGTGTAGTTTTGATTTGCATTTCCCTGATGATCAGCGATGATGAACATCTTTTCATGTACCTATTGGCCATCCGTATATCTTCTTTGGAGAAATGTCTGTTCATGTCTCCAGCCCATTTTTTGATCAGGTTGTTTGATTTTCTGTTGTTGAGTTGTGAGAGTTCTTTATATATTATGGATATTAAGCCTTTGTCAGCTATATGACTTGCAAATATTTTTTCCCAGTTAGTGGGTTGTTTTTTTGTTTCAATCCTGTTTTCATTTGCCTTGAAGAAGCTCTTTAATCTGATGAAGTCCCATTTGTTTATTCTTTCTATTGTTTCCCTTCTCTGAGAAGGCATGATGTGCGAAAAGATCCTTTTAATACTGATGTCAAAGAGTGTACTGCCTACGTTTTCTTC